TTATTAACGCTATCGACAATTATATTATATTATCGTTATAAATATTAATTTCCTTTTATTAATAAGGGGCAATATAAACACTAAGAAATAGTATAAACTCTAGGAAATTACGATAAATATTAATAATAAACGGTAATATACCGGAACGTTATAAAGTAATATAAATACTAGGAAGCAATAATAAATGTAAATAATACACCATTCTATAAATATATACATAGAACAAACGATTCTTTCGTAAAATATAGGCGCAAAGGGGGGTACAGATAGGGATACGCCGCATGAACGATATAGCCCGAGCTTTTTTCGTAAATAGTTTACGCCAGGTTGTATTTACGCCAGATCGTGGAGAAACAAACACTACCTAAAGAATTATAGGAATTCACCTGGATGCTCGGTTCTTGTCACGGATATCTTTTGACCATGTGTTTCTCAGACAACATCAGCACTGGAATAGTTCCAATCCACACCCAAGGCACCTCACATATCTCACCGCTTACTCAAGCAAGTCACACATCATGAGTTCTACTCATCAATACTCGACGATCGAGATGGACATGGACCAGGTCAAGACATTTCTGGAGGAGAAGTGCAAAGGACGTTATAAAATTGAAGTCAGTATCATTTTATGTTGATCTGCTCAACGTTTCATTCAGGAGAGAAATACTAACAAGATTGCAAAAGGCATCTTCGCAGAGAAGCTCGACCCGAGAGACCTTTTACGACGTTACCATCCCGGAAAATATCACGGAAGAAGATCTACATGCGTGCCAAAAAGTACAATCCCCAACGTGGAGGTCGACGAAATCTGCAACAATATAGGGAGAAAAAAACAAAGACCATAGCTGTGAGGAGACTTGGACGCCGGATGCAGGGGTGAGGTAATGAGGGTAAGCGGCGTGGCGCAGTGGGAAGGAAAGCTAGGGAAAGCAAATCTTTGGGTACGACAGCCGTATATTTGTAAGTGACAGAGTATATTTCCGACAGTTGGATATTGTGGTGGTGGTCATCACCGTTCATCAAGGTCTTGCTTGTGTTCATGGAGGTTCAGAGTTCAGCTGAACAATGTCTTGGGAGAAAGCTTTGAGCGTTAATCCACAGACGATCCGCGTCAACAATGAGCATTGTTTCTCCTGCTGGAATCTCAGCACTCTCTTTTTCTGCTCCGCCTTTATTGTATATGCCCTCTAATTGTTTATAGCATTACATCGCCCGAGCCGGGATAGACGGGCGCTGACTGGAGTATACTGCCCGTACAAATGAGCATGCTTCTTCTTTTAAACTAGCCGTCTCCCAAGATTGCCAAATTACACGATATTCATGTTCAACAAAGCTCAAAGCCATGGGCCTCAAAGCTATGACAATGAGCACAAAGAAAATTTTGCTGATAGTCCTCTTTCTCTGTTACCAACTTGATATAAGAGTGCCGACACTCATTATTGCCGCAAAACCCTCTACGCAATTGTCAACGGCAGGCAGGGGCAGTTCTTCTGTTACTTATACCTGCGTGATATCCGCTAAAGGATAGTCGTACTCAAATTGGAAGTTAAACTGCATCGAGCCTCGAATATTCTTCCCTGACACCGACCCTAAGAGTAAAGCGTACCGGTAAACGAAGTCCCCCCGACATCCTACGCGCCTCGGGGCACTAAGTCGTCTACGTACTCAATCCATACTTGTCTATCATGAGCGACTACGTTATCTGGGACCAGGAAAACTGGGACGACGAAAGCATTAGAGGCCCACGGTACGAGATAAAGCTGTCCAAGCACGTGGATGGTGAGAGGGTCTTTGTAGTTCTGTATAGGATGTTTCATATGCAGAATTTTAAGTTCAAAAAGACGGTAAGTAATGAAGGCAATTCAATCCAGCTTTGGCACAAAAGTGGAACTACTTATACATATAGCCGCTTGACAAGAACTGGAAAGTTTTACTGACAATGGTGTGCTCCGGCAAACAGGACAGAAAGCTTGAGCTAGTCGTGCCTCGAAAACTCTCGTGGCGGGAGAGATGGACTATTAAGCATGGATTTATTGAGACTCTGGAGTGATGCGAGAGATTAGTTGGGTGATGTTGGTTGGCCTTGGTATCGTCATTTAAATCAGCAGGGGAAGAGTTAAATTCTTCTTAGTCGCGCGTTAATTTCCATTCATGGCTCATTATTGACGCGCTCGTGATTGATAGACTGTTGGACGTTCCTTCCGCCCAAGACCTTGTTTGATATGGCATTTTGCCCACGAAATCACAGCCCATGAGCCCAGCTACGTGCGTCAACAGGCGCGGCTTCAGCTTTTTCTATTTATTCGCTCATATTCCATTCGAGGTCACTAAGTGTATGTCGCTTCTCTTTCGTTGATCGTAGACCCGCAGTCTAAAACTTCTCAGCAGGTAACAATGGCAACATCATTTTCCACAGCGGTTGAAGCCTTTCGCAGCCGCCCTCCCCCGAGCGACTTTCAGCGCAGCAAACGAAAAATCCTGAAAGGTGCCTTTGACGAAGTCGTCGAGCGCCTTTTCAGCAAAGATAGAAGATACGAGAAGATAGAGGAAAATCAGGGACATGCAGGTCGGACAGCAACCCAGCCGTCAAAAAAGGAACAACCAAGTCTTGCAGGCAGTACCTCTTCCTACTTCGCCGACCGCGGATACCCAACGCGGGTGGAACTGTGCCAAAAGTACCCAGACCTTCCCACTGAAGAACAGCTCCAATCCATCCTGATGGACATACGAGACGAAGCTGAGGCACTAAAGCAGCGTGAGCGGTCTTTAACGGCGGGGCAGCTGAGGAAGGCCCAAGAAGAAGAAGATGAAAAGTACGCCCACCTGAAGGTAGAAGATATGGACGAGGAGGTGCTCAAGGGGAGTGAAGTAAACCCCTTCAGGTTCTTGGGGTTGGTGTTGATACGGTTTGGCGACAGTTGCGATCCCGGGGTAAGTCCACCCAAAGACCTTGAACTTCGCATCCAGATTTGAGCTTAACTGACGAGCGTTGTTTCTCTCTTGGACCAGAAGAACTACAGTACGGGCAATTGGCACCTGAAAGCACCTAGAAAACTCAAGGAGGAAGAGAAAGAATGGTGTTCGGAGAGGCTCTCGAGTGTTATCCAGATACCCGAGGTCACCGGAAGCTGGATACGGCGTAATCCCAATGAGTGTTTTTACGAGCGAAAATCGGACCTACTACCAAGTCCTGGGAATTGAGAGTGGAAATATTCTGCAGGCTATCGATGCAAAGAACATGAGAGGTTGGCAATGGCAGATGAATGGTAAGGTCTTCAAAAAGGAAACCAAAGCGGATTGGGGTGTTCTTCTGCCCCTCAGGCCAACAAGGATGGAAGTTGGTTGTTGGCAGTGTTGTACAAGCGGATCGATCATATGGTACAAATTCAAGTTAACAAAGGCGGGATCTCGTTTGTCTACATGTAGCGCCCTGGGTGACTTTCAGGCCCAACACAACCGCCCATCTGAGGCGTGCGGTACTGACACTCTTTCTTGTTGGCAATCATGCCGTTCATTGCTACGACACCTTGGCTCACCTCCTAAAGTGCCAACGTGTAGGCATTAACAGCGCATAAACGCCTCGGTATATTATACGATTTGGACCGCGTATAAAGGCATTGGCCTACTACGAAGCTAAAGCTTCCAACGAGGAGGGCGCAACAGTCAAGGATCAACTAGTGCTATGCCAGGTCAGTGGCCAATGGACGAGTTGGGGGGAGATCAAAGCAGCACATATTGTGCCACATTTTCTGGACGACCCGCCAACGCTGGACCATATGTTCGGGTTGCGTGCGGGCGAGATCAGCGAACCTACGAACTTCCTCCTGATGCACTACCAACTCGAAGCCTGGTTTAATAAGTACCAGTTCGTCATCGTTCCACAAGATCCCAACGAAAAACCCAAGATCACGAAATGGAAGGTAGAGTTGATCTCTCCTGACATCAAGCACACGCCCGTCGTAGCTTTGGCACCGGTTCATGGCCCTAAACACACGGCCAAAGATCACCTTGATCAACGGCAACTGACCTTCCTCAACGACAAACGCCCGGCTTCAAGATTCCTTTTTTTCAGGTTTCTAATGGCGCTCACCCGGATCCGAGAGCTTAATCGGAACGGATGGCAGGAAATTTGGGCCAAGTACTCGACTTCCAGGCCTTTTGCGACTCCTGGCAGGTATCTGCGGACCGGAATGTTACTAGCCTTAACGGCTAACAGCGAAGTCATTTCCCCGGGCGAACTCGAGAAGTTCGTGCTTCAAAGCGAGACGGATGTCCCCCGTCTAATTCTCGCAGAAGAAGACATGAAGAGAGTTCGTGCAGAGGTTGCCAAACTCGCGAAGTACGAAGAGGAGAAGGAGGACGAAGACTGGACAAGCGATTTCGAAGAAATCACCATACTGGCGTCGACAATTGGAGTATTATTGTCGACTTCGTCCACACTTTGGGAAGTTGTGTAATAGATGTCACTCGGCAAATGTGAATTAAGGAGGACGATCTGGTAAATTTCGACAATCTTGTTATCAGTCTTCTTCTTGGGGAACCGCCTTTGGTAGGAAAGGCTTGGAGGAGGGAAATATCATGGGAGGGAAGGAGAGGCATAATTCTGGCTCGGGAAAGTAGTGGAAGATGCTATAGCCAAGAATATTACGATGGATTGACGGAGTGAATTGCATGCATAAGATACCTTATTCCGTGACAACACATCTCCAAATGAAACTTTGTCAGCCGGATCACAAGAAACCAACCTGCCTTAAAACACGACTCGGAGGTGACCATCGTTCTTGCCCAAAACCGAAGTTGAAAATTTTCTCGACCACTTCAAGAGAACGGAAGGAACCAGGCAAGCAGGCAACCTCGCACATCAACCACCTACACACACCTACGACAGCCACACTCACATACATACCATACAGACACAACCCACATATATCAAAAATAAAAGCAGTTAAAAAAACTACTGAAAGAACGAAGAGAAATTCCGCAACAAAAAGAAAATTCGATGTGCGGTCCGGGATTCGAACCCGGGATCTTACACTAGAAAAATAGTGTAATAAATATTGACCAACCGAAGCTGCACAATAAAGGTGTTTTAAGCCTTTTCACAATTCTGAGTGCACGCGCTGACTACTGCGCTAACTAAACTTTGAAATTATTGAAAGGGGAACCAAAGACCTAATACATATACCCTAAGGGAAGGAGGGAAGGAGCGGCAGGCGGGGGGCCGGGGGCCTGCGGGAAGATTGGGCTCGCGGGGAAGGGACGGGTCTGGGCCTGCCTGTATTGGTTCTCGGGGTACTTGGGTACGGGGCATGGCCTCAGGAATCAACTCGGTCTATGAATCGTTCACTTCGGATTCAGAAAAATGTTATTGTTGTGCGATTGTTAATAACCGCGACAAGTTACTATTTAGGTAGGCGCTCGTTCGAGTTGTAAGCGCTCTGTTGGGTGTACGGTGTCTTTCGTTCGATAATGTGCCCTCTTTGTTGCCATGGACTGTGACCAGGTCGCCGGCGGCAACCACAGAAAGGACTTCTTACGAAGTATTAGTAATTATATCCAAGTTTCTCCAAAGAGTAAATCTCATATCGTATAAGTTCATGGTTGTTCCTCTTTTGTATACGGCAACGAAGTCTATCAACAAAATGGCATCAGACAACCTCATCGAGGATGCGACTTTCCAAAATGTGCAACAGAAGGGCAAGAGCAAGAGACTGAACAGCAGAGCGCCCTCCCTGAGACCCAAGACCAAGTCCAGAACCAAAACCAAAACCATGCTCTGGCTCAACAATGCAACCAACTCCAGGACCGAAGCTCTACCTCTACACAAACGGCTGCAAACACCTTTCCAGAGTCGACGACGTCCCAAATCGGGAACGAAACAACGTAGCAGGAACAAGACCGTTTCCTATTCGTCTATAAAATTGACACGCGCATTCATTCCCTCTTCAGAGTCTGTTGCCTGTGTCTGAATGAGTTTGGTCGTGATAATTACGAATTCCTTGTATTATCCCTATGAATAGCTTATAGTAAATGCCGCTTCCCTCGGACACTCCACTGCCAAGCTGACGAACCTACAATGGTGCTGAAGTGTTGCTAACTTGAACGGACGTACGTGTAGTGGCAAGAATACACCCTAACGGCCAGCACTCCGCGAAAGTTGTCTAATGTGGAGATCAATATGTGCAGGTATTGATGAACGTAGGGTCTGGCGGGCTGTGACGATGGTGATATGTCCTGAAACGAGCGTCACGATGTTGCTTTCGGGATGTGGGCGAGGAGAGTTTTATCGGGGCAGGTCATACGAGTTGAGTATGTTGGTAGTAGTTCAACGCGGACAATTCTCGTTCAACGATCGAAGAGACACAACAGATGCATGTTCATCAACTTTTGATCTTCCATATACGCTCCGTACTCTCTACTCTGTACTTTCAAAATTCAATGCTCGATTCCCTCTCGGCACAAACCAGCCATTACTATGCAACACCAACGCAAGACATGGGCTACCAAAACCTAACCACAGTATACCAAACATATATCGACACAAGAGAAGAACATCATGCAACAAACTACCACCAACACCATGCTCCCATAACTTTTGTCCCATATTTCCCAAAAGCCCAGAACCCCTCAAAGAAAAACAAGACTTGAGTGACGACTGATCATGACCCATCAACCCCATTCAACCCCTCCAATCTCTCTACCACTCTCTCCGTCGGCGTAACTATACTACTACTATTCGCACCCGCCTTAACCAGCGCCCTCAAACTCGCCATTTCCCTCTTCAGTCTCGCATTCTCCTTCTTTACCCTCGCCGTCTCCTCACTCTGCTCCTTGAGTTTGGCCAGCAACTCCTCCTTATCCTCTCTCCCTTTACCCTTCAGGGCTTTCAACATCTTGCCCAGCTCGCTGTTGAACTTTTCATAGAGCAGCTCATTCTCAGCCGTGGCTTCTTTGTAGAGCTGGTCGATTGCCTTGACCTTGGCTTCCGAAACACGCAAAGTAGCTTCCATCTCGCGGTTGATTTCCGCTTGACGTTCTTGCAGATCGAGCATAGCCTGTGGGACGCGCTCCTCGAGGGCGCGGACGGCGCTGGAGAGGCGGCGGATTTCGGTCGAGGCGGAGCGAGGCAGGGTGGCGTTGATGCGGGTCATATCTTCGGAGATGCGGCTGAGCTCGGATTGCAGCGTGGCGTCAACTTCTTCGACGGCCTTGAGATCAGTCTGCAGACGCTCGCGGATCTTTTGTGGGGAACGGAGGCCGAGGCGGCCGCTGGTGGAGGTAGGAGTTTTCAACCCGCCATTGTTATAGGGCAGGGCGGGACGGCTCGGCGAGCGGGTGAGGGTGCCGCCATTGTTGGCAGCGCCGTTGCTGGTGCTGTTGCTGTTTGATGATGGGCGTTCGACTGTCGGTAGCCGGGAAGGCTTGAGAGTGGGTATTTGGGAGACGGAAAGGGCCTTGGGACGGCTTCGTACCGGAAGGGACGAGCTGAAGGGTTCTTTCTCGGGTGGAGTGCATGGGGTTGGTACTAGGGGACTAATACTTGGGCTCTCCTTTTGTCGCGATGCGTACAGTGGGGGTGTCAGTTCAGTGCCAGGGCTTATATTAGAGCCCGAGCCAGGACTTATGGGTATCTTGGTAGGTGAGTTCGGACTGATCGGAATCTTAGTCGGTGCGGGGAGACGGGGCGCCGTGTTAAACTTCTGGGAGGCCTGTTTCTTGTTAATCTGGATGGGCGCAGGAATGGCAGCAGCAGTTTCGGCGTCGGTGACCAGGGGGTCCTCTTTGTCGTCAACCGGGGGCGGGCTCGTAACGGAATCTACCAGGGTCGTGGACGACAGTATCGACTTGAGATCCGACAGCGAGCTGCGGCGCTTCTTCTTTAACCGCTTGGATCCGGGAGACGCTTCTTCGTTTTCCGGCTCGCCAATCGTTTCTAATCGTTTTGAACTAGACGGACGGTGCGTGATGTCATCGAAAGCTCCGGCGATTGGAGGCCTGTCTCGCGACCCTGGGCGTCGCGACCTGTTGGGTGTTGGTGGATTGAAGAAAACGCTGATATCGATTGATTTTGACCTACTCGCTTTGGAAAGGCTCGAACTTTCACCTGGGCTCCTTGTGTGCTTGCTGAGGGACCGCCATACGGAAGGACGATCACGGTCGGATTCGGTCTTGCTGTTTTGCCGGAGCAGGTTGTCAAACCCAAACTTTCTCCGGAGCGATGAGCTGTTGGACGTCATTGATCCCGTAATGGACTTCTGGCTCCTGTTACTCGCGGTAATATCGTCGTGTGAGGTCTTGAGCTGGAGGGTGGCGCCGAAGCTGTGGTCCTCGAAGATTCGGTCGCAGTCTTCAACAAGGCGGTCTAGGAGGTTGATGTAGTTGGAACCGGTGCCGTCGTCAACAAGTAACTCCGCGAAGGCTAGTGTCAAGGCACCCCGATCTCCGTCATTCGAACATCCATCTAGTAAATCTGCCAGTAATTTGATCAGTGCGGTGAAAGCCCGTCGGTTTTGTGGGGCCAGGTCTCGGAAAATGAATCGGACAAAGTCGCCAAAGTCTCCCACCACTCGCTTGGAAGCGCGAACTTGAAGAGCATCGAGCGCGTGCATGGTGATGATCGGTCCTATCTGATCACGCCATGCGATGCGCACAAACTTCTCGAATGCGGCAAACACAATATCAGTGCCCACCTCTGCCGAGGCCTCCAAATCGAAGGGAAACTCGATCAGTCTGTTGTAGAGGTCGTTGACCAACAGTTCATCTGCCATGGATCTAGTAAGCAGTGTTCGGCCATGATAGTAGCCTTTACGAGCCTGTAGATTGGCAATGAAACCAGTGAAGGTCTGTTCAAGTCGGAACAATGGGTTTTCAGGGCGCATGTCCTCGGTTGTGCCTAGCTTGATACTATGTGCTTCCTTGATCGAGGCCGCAAGCAACATCAAATCTGGTCGGCTGTTCGTCCTGGCCATCTGCGAGGGGAGCAGAGCGGGAGCGCTCCCATTAGGATTCCGCTGGTGCCCCCTTAGTGAGCCATTGGGCGTGCTTTCGGTGAGTGTGACACTTGGTGTGCTGCCGCCAAGGAAATTCGACAACAACTTGACGGGCGACGCACTTTGTGAGCGCCTGTGACCCTTTTCCATGTCTTTCGATCCCATGTGGAGACCGCGAAGGATCTTGGTGTAATAGTTGACGAGGGCCGGGGCGAGTCTTAGGTTAGCGACACTAGTTTGAGTACTTAGCAACTGGATAATTCTGCGCGAAAGGGTCGGTAAAAAGTCGTCCAAGGCAACTTCGTCGCTGAACTTCTTGCCGTTCAAGCCAAGGGTATTCATCGATATCCTCCTTAGATCAGCAGTCCTGAGCTCGACAACAACCTCTACGCCATAATGGCCGATTGGGGCGCCCTTGGTTCCGAGGTCCATATCCAGGACAACCCGGATGGGTGCTGGTTCTCGGCGGCCTTCGATGAGTTGATCTGCCGCCTCCTGGAACACGGCTGCATGCAGCCTGAAATTGTTTTCTTCCATCCTCACCGAACGCAGAGTCCAAGTGGGATCTTCTCTTTCCTGCTCAGAGAACCGGCCTTCGATACGTGCCTTGATGATTTCTTCATTCCACTTGGATGCCCTGCCCTCATACGTCTCTTGTAGAAGGAAACACCTCGAGGTGACCGCTTTTCCGCCGAAATACTCGCCGGAGTGCGAGCCCTTCATCTCGGCCGTTGACGCCATCCAGATCAGCCTACCATCGGCAGACTCGGTGAAGCGAATATCACCAAGATTATGCCACCCCGTAAGAGCAAACTCCCACATGCCTGGTCCTCCAGCAACGTTTGTCATGGATGCCAGCAGGCCGGCGGGCGATGGCTTGTCGATCTCGCGCAAGAGGTCACGGCCGGTAAGTCCCGAGTCGGTCTTCTTCTTGAGGATGACGAGGATATCAGAGAACACGAGGAAGATTCCGGCATTCTCTTGAAGATCCGATTCCCGTAGGTCATCAAATGGGGGAGACAGCTCGATAAAGTCAGCAGCCACAGCCAATCGGCCCTGTGGCTCCAAGTCTGGGGGCCAGCATTCGACCATTGCGCGTAACCTGCTGATGATGTGGGGCTTGTCTCCCGCGCCCTCGTCCAGAGAGCAGAT